CTTCATCTTTAAGAACTCACTCTAGCCAGGCATGAAGTTCTATAGCCTCGCCAAGTAGAGACCGTATCTATTTTCAGTTCCTGATAAGCGATTCAGAAGATGAATATTTGAACTTATAGACCCATAAAATCTAATTTGGGGCTAAGTACACATCTCTATCATGCAAAGAATTCTGGTAATTTGCAAGAAACTATTAGGAAAAGTGGATCAAAAAAAGAAAATTGCTTTGAACTTAACATTTGCATAATTTGAACACTTGTCATTCCATCCACCCTACCACAAGTTTTATGATGAATTTGTCCTTGCAATCCATCCAGCCATTACTTCTAGAATTGTGATGTATCATAAATTGTAAGAGTTGCATCATCATCTTGAGCCCCATATCAAAAGTTGTCGTTTATATTGCGAAGTTATCAATATTTCGGAAAATGAGCATTTATAATAACTGTATAATAAGTGGGGACGTAGTGTTCTGCGGTTAAAGATTGAAAAATAAAAGGAAACTCCCAACACTAAATGCTACTTTCAGATGCAAATCGGAAGCAATTAAGAACACACAACATTTGCTTTTGCATTCTATACGAACACAATCAGCTAACAACCAAGTAGTGATAATTTTTCTACTTAACTGTGACGAACACAATCAGCTAACTACCACAATCAGTACCTTAAACAAATCACATGTGTGACCAACTTGCAATTCACAAGTTCCTAGTTGTGAAATAAATTGTTTGTATCAAAACATCAGAACAAAAAAGTAATATATTCTGAGCTTCATGTATGCCTCCAAAAGCTTTCAAAAATAACGAGAAAAACAAAGCAAGTGTTCAATATCTTGACCAAAACTACTAAAAATCCTAATAGCAATGTACATACTATCCGAGTAAATCAATTTTTTCCTTATAAGTTTGCAATCTCAGCCAACAAATAGAAACAATTCTACCATAAATACAAAGAAAAGACAAATTATTTCTCAAATATCAAATTTCTTCAGACATTTATGAAATTAGCATTACAAACTACCAAGATAATCTCCTCTTTATATATCAAAAGATTAAAAATTGTAATTTAAAAGCACAAATATTATTGTAAATCTTTCAAACATTATATCACACGGATCACTAAACATGTTTTTCAAAGTTAAAGTTGCAAGAACTTTCACCTCCAAATACTCGTAGTTTTCGCTTCCCATGATTACAATCTTTAGATGAAGTTAAAAATTACCTTAATAGAAAAGACAGAAAATTACAATGTCATATTTGAATGCAGTAGTGGAAGTTGTCGCTCTTTACTAGTGTTCAACAAAGGGAAAAGAGAGGCAATGAAGTATGAACAAGAAGTTCTTTCTTTCTACTTGCACATTTTTAGAATCCAAAAGAATTTCAAATTGAGTAACCACATTGGCATTTAAAACCAGTAAAAGTTTGAAAAAATAATGATACCATATTAAAATGTTCTAAATTCTAAATGAGTAAAAATTCCAGGATAGCTTGCAAAGCTATTTCCAAATCAGGAAGTTTTTTATTTCAAAATCTGGAAGTTCCAAAATGTTTTGACCATAACAAGGAAATCACGAGTGTTATTTTCTGAAAGCGCTAAATTGTTCCATGAGCATGAACAACTCATGAATAACTCATCATGAAACATAGAAATTAAGTCTTAAACATTATACAAGTCTTATTTAGTATAATAATTAGTCCCATGTAGCCTTTTTGTCATCTTCTTTAGCAAAAATTGAAATTGTTAACAAAAACATGCACAATAACCAATAGAAGAGACATTAACATAAAAAAAGTTAGCAAGAATATCAAAAATAAAAAAACCCACAAATTATGAAGGCCATTTTAAAGTTACAACAAAATACCTTAAACTAACAATAGTGGAGTTGAATTCTTAATTCCACTGTGAATAACCTGCATAGAGTGCTTCATCGCATTTATCAAATTTTTTTAGCTCTCTTTCTAATTAGTAATTTCAGCATAATAAAATGTTGCTCAACTGTTGGTTCAGAATGAGTAAAACTGTGGTCAATATGTGCTGATCTGGTTGAATAACTTGTTTGCTCAACTACACATGTTGTATTTTTGGCTTGTTGCAGTTGTGAAGTAATTTGGCTCATTAGGTATTTGCATTTTGTTCTGTGGTGACCCCAAATTCTATAAAACTCACATTTGTGAGCACTTCTTTTCTGTTTGGTATTGTTCTCTAAAAGTTATTTAAATCTCATTTTTTGGGTCTTCTTCTAGGCCTCAAACTATTAGGAATAACTTTTACGTTCGAGTCAATAACATTCCACTACTCTTTTCCTAGAAGAGTGGATATATGACCTTCACAAACCATTTTATAACTATAAGTAAAATATAAATATTAATATCATAAATGTTTAGGGTTTCATTAATAACATTATATTGCATACCAACCTGGAAACATAGTAAAAATCATGCACGTAAATGTGCCACAATGGATGTTCTTTGCTATTGATGAGCACTGCAACATAAATGCATGGTAATTCAGTTATTTGCAAACTCTACAAGTACATTCTCTATTGTTTAAATCTACTTGACGTCTTTCGTACTGACCTTCAACTTGGACTCATTATGGCATTGATTGTCTTACGATGAACTGTTCTTTTTGAGTTGTTATTTCTCTAAGATAATCCCCAACAAGTGAGACTAGCTCTCCTTTCCATAAAGATGATTGAATCTATCTCTAATCTCTGTTCCATAAGCATTGATCTGATCCAAATAAATTAAATCAACCACTGGCTTGCTCCATGAATTGAACGATTCAGATATATTGTTTGTATTGTTCTGTTTTTTTATTTCACTTGAGAAATCACATTTAGACAATTTATAAGGTAAAACAAGCAAATATGCATACACTTACAGACATATATTACTTAGCTCATTCATCTTATTTTCAAACTCAATTTTAATATATGTTTTAGCTGCATCCCATACCAAACTCTGAATCTTTTGGGTGTCCTTACAGTGATTTTTTTTTTCAAACTCTGTTGTAAATGACATATACACCCTGTGCTCTGTATTTGGAAAAACGAACTTCAAGCCCCTTTTCCATGTCAGATATAAATGCCAGATTTTATATCTTATATTGAAATGATTTTGCTAGTTGCTCTAAAAATCATTGTCAAGATTTCTTCGACTGTTATTCAACAACTGCAAAAATGATATCAACCGTATTAGCAGACATTAAGACACCTAGATATTTCGACTTCAAATAACAAGTATCAAGTCCAACTAAGTGTTTGCATCCTGCTAGAAATCCATCGTTGCAAATCTTAAAACTAACGTAGAATCTTTAAAAAAAAAGAATCATTCTCATGTCAATTGTATGTAATATGTGATTTAGGATTTGTGCTTAAAAGCTTGGTATGTAATGCAGGTACCCACCTGTAATTATCATCAACGGATTCAAAAATATTATCTTGTGCTTGCTCTCTCAATCTCCATAGCTTCATATGTGACAATGATAGCCCGTATAAGTTCTCTAATTTGTTGTTGATGTGCGTAGGAGGGATCTCTGGATCCTTCTTCACAATATTTTTATTTGTTATGCAACCGAAGAAGTCGTTGCTTGTTTTCGACTCTGTTTACTCCAAGGCATAAATGCATAGATTTTAATTTTCTTATCTCAAATAACAGTCCATCAGCACATAATTTAACTCTTACCCCTCCAAGGACATTCTTGATGCGAACAAACAACAACAACGCGAGATCTATTGCTAGCTATAAATTTTAGCCTAAAATCATTTTTTACTGCAATGGAGCAGAGAACTTTCTTAAAAGTTTGTGAGTCTTGAGAGTATGCACCAACTTTCAAATCATTCTATCGTCAGCTTGAATAATTTGATACCCACCATTATAAATCTCTCTCAATAGTTTCATTAGAAACACAGTCAGAATTTGGATAACTATTGTCTGACATGTTATTAGTAACCAATGTCTCTTTGACCTTGTGGAAAATTTTCAAATTATTCAGCCATTTGTGTGATGACTACCACCTCAACTCGACCATATCTACTCGAGTGAACAGTCATCTCTACAACTTCAGTATCATTGGCTATAAGCATATACTCTTTTGGTGATATTCTACATTTATGATATTGTAATTGAAATTAAAGTCATCTAATTCTTGGACAAATTGATTCAATATTTTTCTTTAACACTGCCAAGCTCATCATATCTTTCTGAATTTTAATAGTTTTCCGGTGGCCACCTTCATATTTTTTTCTTGGTTGATTTTTAACTTGCACTCAATATTTCATCATATTTGAATGTGATGAATAAGTTCTCATTTTGATCTGCCATTAAATCAATCTTAAAATTGGACCACACCACATCAACACAAAAAAAAAAATAATAATATGAGCAAATATGAATGACACTTTGAGCAAAAAAATCCTCTATATCTATTTAACATTCATACGAATTTTTTTTTTAATTTCTCACACAATCAGCCAAAATCAAACAATAAAATAGACCTTCACCAGGCAAGTAAATATTTCCGGAATCAAGATAATATGAATAAAAATCATGCAAGTTTCTCAAACCGAAACTGTCTTACAGTGCGAACACACAAGTTCCAAATTTTATTACAAAACCTCAACCTCTCCCTCCTCAATCCTCAAAAAGTTTCAGAATTTATTACAAAACCTCAACCTCTCCCTCAATCCTCACACAAAATTCCACCATTTGAGTAGTACTTGAATAATTATATTTCATTAGGGGAAAAACACTTTTAAAGCATGTGTGCTCTCTGTTACAACAATCATAGGAGAGAGACGAATCATAAAATTGCTACTCTAACCATGGAGTTAGAGCTGTACAAAAAGGATCGCAAAGAAATCAAAGTAGATATTACCTTTGGTGTGTTGGGTATGTAAAAACCCCAATATAAAAATGGTTATAAAACAGTAACCAAATAGCCATGTTTTCAAACTTCAAAATTACTGGTATTTAATTTCATTTGAAAGATTACAGGCATCAGTTGCGGGATCAATGATTGGGGTTAGACTTGGTCTATCTGACCATATCAATGACACGAATGCCATATTCTCCCTTGATTTGGATGAAGAAGACATGAACAGCATCACTGAGGTATCCATGAAAGGGAGAGATCTTCTGAAAGTAATTGGAGATTGCGGCGATGAGTATCGTCGCGCATAAACCCATTGCAGGGAATTGTCTGGTTGAGGAAGATGCTTAGTCCCTCTGCGGCCATCTACTGATAATCGTATAATCTGAAATAAATTTGAAACGCTTTCGTGTCTCTTTCGTGTCTTCTAATATAGAATTTTAATGTAGCATAGTGATGAGATTATATTAATGTTTTTCTTTCTTTTTTTTTATAACTTGCAACCATCCATATAAATAATAGTCTATCCATCTATCCTACAATTTGTACATCAGGACTCCGGATGTAGACATACACATCCGGAGTCCAATGAAATCACGCCACATGAAGGTGACAGAAGCACAAAGGAATATTCTTCCCGTATTATTACGTGTTATTCAATTGTTATTGTGGTGATATTCATGTATTATTGTATTATGGGAATATTCTCGGTGTTATAATAACCCAATAATATATCAATATCATCACAATAACTCATGAATAATGTGGAATAACACTGGAGGAATATTCCTCTATGTTGTCGGGCCGGATCACAAGAAAATGAGTTTTTTTTTTTTTTTTTTTCTTTCAACTCCACGTGAAGATGATTCATTGGACTCCGGACGTATCTCTACGTCTGGAGTCCGGACATAATAATTTTTCGTCAAAAGATAACCTTATTTAAAAAATTATATCATGCAGTTTATGCGCAGTATGGATATATTCATGTGTTATATTTATGCATCATGAAAATATTTACCTTTAATAATTACATTACATGAACTTTACCGGCTAGTAATTTAGTTATGCGTGCAACGTAAATTTTTCGTTATCGGTGGTAAATTTGGAGATAATTAGGATCGGATTCGCAAGACGCAGAATTTAGAAAATTATTTGTTGTGAATTATGCCCTGAATTTATAGCTAAAAGGTTTCGTTTTGATGAATATATATTTCATGCGTTCAGTGACCGCATGGTTTTCTAAATATTATGCATGAATATTTGCATTATGTTATGAAATATTACTTTTAAATTAGGATCACTGTATATAGAAGGGAAATATTAGCATATTTACATAGAAAGCTAACCGTGATATAAAGTTGTGCAGGAGGTAGATTAGGCTTTCTTCTTTCAAATGCACAGATCATCATCTAATCAAGTCTTACATGTTGATCTCTGAGTAATCAATCTAGTAGATGGAAGGTAGTCATGGGGGCGATGGTTTACTTTTTTGGGATGGATTGTCATTAGTTGGTTAAATAAGATACGAGGGTGCATGGGAACATGTTTTAGTGCATTAATTTTGTAAACCCAATGACTCGATGAAGCACTAAATAGCACAAATTAGATTGATAAGTCGTGTGGGAGACTAAAATAATAGGCACTTTGCTTTTGACAACTCTTCCTATGATTGACATTTGGGTCTTGTTTGAGATAGCTTTTTATGTGACTTCCATTTTTGAAAGCACTAACATGCTATTTGGGAAGTTGCATTTTGGCAGCTCTTCTGAAAATTTCATCTCAAAAATTACATTTTGCTAACGGAGTGTGACACTTTGGTTCGGCGGAACGGAGCTCAAAATGACATTGTTGGCCCCGATTAATTCAGGGAATTACTGGCCTAATTAAGATTCCCTTTGTGGCTTCTCCGTTTTCGCTGTATGCTCTCATGTTTAGGGTTTATGTGGCAATTTTTTTCTACAAAATTTCTCGTTTATCTTGTTGCCTTCGAATCTAATGTATCTCTGTGATTCTCTTTTTGTTTTTGGAATTCAATCTTCTCTATCCAAGAAAGTATTTCATTGTTGGTTGTATTAAGTTCACTTCATGTCATGTGCTTGGAATTTATGGACTGATATTTTGTTTCCAATTTATTTGGGCTCGTTGAGGATTAGGTAGGATTCTATGGTTTTGTTTTGAATCTTTTAGGGCTTGCTCTGGATTTGGGTGGGTGTTCATAGTCTTGAATGTTGTGTGAGCTTTGTAAGTACATAAAAATTGTGTCCTTTATGTGGACAATGCATAGGTTCTGTGCTTTTTTTTCCTGAAACATTGTAGGCTTGGTAGGCATGTGGTGGGATTGTGTCGGCACTATTTTTGGTGTGGGGTTTGCCCGTAGGAAGCTGTCGGTCATCGGAATTGAAATCCCGTTGCCCGCTTC